GAGAGCAGAGCTCTAAGCTGAGCCAGTAACTTGAAGGAGTGTCTCGACTTTGCTGAGACTCCATTTCCTTATACAAAAGGAGAATGAAGTGGCAAATGCTTATAGATGACTATTAATTACATGATATATGATTATATATTAGCATATGCAGCTATATCAATACTGATTGAATGTAAATGCTCATACATCTTGAAAAGGGCACAACAGGCTTATTAAAAAAAGGTAAAACTCTTAACATGCATAATTGTAAGAGCATAATGAATATATTCTTATAGTGACAACTATTGGTTATTGTTGAATGAAGTGTTACACTTATTACCAAAAGTCTTCATAATTGCCCCCAAGCATAATTATTATATGTATTTTTTAGTTTGCAAATGAGGCTAAGAAAGTTCTTGTTTGCTCAAAGTCATACTAGTTTGGAAGAAGCAAAGCCTAGATTTTAAGTATTTTTCTCTCCTGTTGATAGCTCATGAGTTCTCCCATCTTTTTTTTTTTTTTTAGTTCATAATCTACAAAGCTATCTTACAAAATATGCTTCACCATATGGTTTTGGAAACTTTGGAGATAACAGGAAAGAAAAGCACTCAGTGGTAATTATTAATTGAGTTTAATTATCACTTTAACAATGTTGAAAACATGTGACTCCCAAAAAAGGAAGAAGCTCCCATCTGCAGGCACTCAGGGTCTGCTGCATCCACACGGCCCTTTCTCCTGCTGACTGAGTAAGAAAAGCACAGGGTGCCATCAGCAAACTTACTTGGTATTTCTAGATTGACAGAAAAGTATATGGCTAATGCTTCACCTCTTTGCCTATTGACAGAAAAGTACATGGCTAATGCTTCACTTCTTTGCCTAATAAGTGTTTCTAAAGCCTATTTTTTCACTTAATTATATAATAATAATATATGAACATTTAATCAGAATTTGTTTGAATCTGTTCCAAAATACTGCGTCTTAAATGTCCTGTTCTGTCATTATAACAAAAAACAGAAAATTGGCCATGTACTAGAGAAATACGCAGAATTTACCTTGGATCTCAGGATGGACTCTCAGGATGGACATGGCCTTTGGCCATGTACTAGAGAAATACGCAGAATTTACCTTGAATCTCAGGATGGACTCTTAAACTTGTGAAAAGGACTGGCCTTGTTGACAAACAGGGGATACCTCCTTCCCCTATGTACTAGGACATTAATTTCTTAGCCTCAGATTCTCTACCTGTAACAGGGAACTGTCACTGTTTCCCTGAGTGACTTGGTTACTTTTCTCTCATTGCTGGAACAAAACATCCAACACTCAAAATGAAAGAAGGAAAGCTCACTGTTTGTGGAAGTTCCACTCCATAATCAGCTGGCTACAAGGAAGGGTAGGGTGACACTAGGGCAGTACTTTAAGGCAGCAGTCAGAACAAAAGAGGGAAACAGGCCTTCTTGGCCTCTTCTCCTTTGTGTTGTACACAGGCTACTTCCTACCTCCCCCGAACCCCACGTGGAACAGATGTAGCCCTCCTCTTTCACAGCATGAGGATATTTATAAAGTGAGGATCCTGGCTCCCTGCTGAGTCTCTTAGTTAAACTTCTAAACTTCTCAAATTGATACAATGTATCAACCATAACAATGAGCTACCTTGTTCCTCTCAATGGTAACTGTTTTCCAATAAGTCCATCACCTCTGTTGGACCTTTTCCAATGTCAGGCTCACAGTGCATTCAGACACAGGTCTGTGTATCCCGAAACACACATTGCTGGAATAAATGAAGTGGGACTGTGTTTTGTTTTGTTCTGATGAGACAGAGTCTTGCCATGTAGTTTAAGCTGACCTTGAATTCACTGCATCACTCAGCTTGACCTCAAACTCATGGTGACCCCCCGCCTCAGTCTGATGAGTGCTGCAATTATAGGCATGCACCGCCATGCCCAGCTGGACTATTTATTGTAAGTCACATGTGCTATCAGCCAATTTTCTGCAATCCACTACCAGCACATGTTGTTCTACTTGTGGTTTTGCCATTGGTCCTAGCACACATCTGGCCTGAATGAACCCACATTCTAGAAGACAAGACGATCCATACAAGAAATCTATGACTCAAGATGTTTGTTTTGGAACAGAGATCCAAAGAGAAGCATCAGCAAAGAGAAGGATGTGACTCTATATGTACTAATGCATCCTTCCCCACTGTCAGAGCTCAGCAAAAAGTAACTGCCACAGTCTAACTCACATCCTGCCTAATTTTGCTTCTTGATTTTGATATGTACAAAAGCATTTCTCCATTTCACTTAATCCCTTTGGCTTCATGGTATTCTAATGCCTGATATTTCAGTAGGGCCTGTGCTTTGCCTTGTGAGCAGCCATGCACAGTAATAGAAGTGACTGCTGGAGGGCAATGGTGTTGAGCTGGAAGGTCTGTGGTGGGATACAGGCTTTGGAAAATGAAGGACAGACTCCTGAGAGCAGGTAGGGGACTTGAGGGGAAGGGGTGCAGACACATCAAGGCTGGATTGTAGCTTCCAGGTTTAGAAGGGAACTCAAGATTCCAAGGCTGAATGAGGCATAGGGAAGATGAGAAGTAGGAACACTCCAGCCAGGAAGAGCTGTACAGAGATAGACCTTCAGCAAACCTGGACTGCCCTCCCTGGCTCATCAATTCTGCTGAAAGTACAGGGAACAACCAAAGATGCTGATATTTATTCTTATCTCAGCACATAGTATAGAAATGAGACGATATTCTTCACAACCTGTTTTGCACAGGTTTGCAGTTATTAGAATTTGTAAATGATTTTCTGTCCCTTCTTTTACTTTTCTTCTGGGGTTTTAGTTATCTGTGCCCATTTTGGGTTGAAAGGAATTTTACAAGAAACATTTTACAGGGAGTAGACCATGGAAGCCTAAGGCTGGGGTCCAATTCATTTTTATGGATTTGAGAAGTAAACTTAAAAACACTGTGTCCTCAGATATGGTTGCATTATTAACATACTAGTCCAGAGAAGGAAAATGGAAGAAGCAGGGACACAGATGCAAACTCCGCTGAATTCTGACCCTACCTTTTGGTATTATAGGATGTATAACTTTAGCAAAGTCTTCTGAGTTTCAGTTGGAGAACAGCAGAAGGGGTTTGTGATACCTGGTTATATAAAGATAACATAATGTAGAGGCTCCTGGCAAGTGTCTCCTTCATCTCTATTTATAATGTTCCAACTATCTATTGCTAGCTAACCTGCCATCTCCAAATTCACTTTTTTAATCACAATTTTATTGTATTTATTGTTCTAAGTTATGTGGATTCATTTAGGTGGTTGTCATTTGATGTCTCTTGGGCTATGTTATCAGATAACTGGAATTGCATGAAATTTTTGAATGGATGGGCATCCAAGCTGGCATACTCAACATCGGGACGCTGGAGATGGGTGGGCATCTTTCTCCCTCCCTATCTCCTCCTGTCTTCTGCTCCTGGTTAGTTGGAGCCTCCTAACAGAATGATGCTATAAAAGTAGTCAGACTTCTGAAATGGTAGCTGACTTCTCCAAAGACAAACCAGCAAGCACAACAGGAACATACAAGTTCTGCATTACTCAGTGCAGACTGTGATAGCAAATTTGAGTAGTTTAAACATTTTTAGCGTTTAGAGTGTTGAAGCCCAAGAATTTCTCACAATCATGTCATTTTTGCAATATTTCGTTGGTCACCCAGGGCTAGCTCAAATTCATATAGGAGACACACTAGGTTATGAGTATCTAAGTGTGTGGGTTATTGGTGGGGCCATTTGTGCACATTAGCTACACTATATAATGTGGTTGCCAAGCAGAATCTTTGATTATCAAGTGTTATGTGAACTGTTCGGAGAGGCTTTTCCTCTTTGATGCAGTAGGCATCTGGGGATTATCCCAGTGTTGCTCTGCCCTTGTCTTGGGAAGAGAAAGAGACAATTTTATCATTCCTGTTACAGTTACCAAAACAAAGGGACTATGAACAGGATTGATCTACAGATCTACAATAAAGAGGGGGTTTCTTTGCTTGTTGTTTGGGGAAGTTACACTGAGGCACTGTTCTATGGAAACAAGATGAGACAAAGAAAAGTAGATTCGGAAAGAAATGAAGGGCAAGAAATAGTCAAAGAAAGAGGCCATTTCAGCCCCAAGTGCAAGCCGAACTGATCCTAGAAGGCAGAAGCTCGGGAGACGCGGGGACTTCAAGAACTCTTTATGCTGCTGTGTTCTGAAAGCAGCACCAGCGGCACCTTCCCCGGTTCAGTGCCTCAGTTTTTAAAGATGACAGCTGTTTAGCCACCGATACACTTCTCTTAGTTCATTCAACAAATACATGAACAGCTGCGCTGAGCTAGGGAATGTGTTAGACACTTTGGTGGATGTGAAGATGAATCAGAGCAGAACCCAGGCAGAACAAGTCCCACACAGCACATCCGGAGTGTGGAGCTGTGAGGGGAGGAAATGCCACCTGGATGAAGATTTGCAGCTCTGTCAGGCTGATGCTGTGGTCTTCCAGAGTGGGGATGACATCTCTTATCACCAGTGCCACTGTTGCTCTTTGTTCCTCCTCCTTTTTTCTGCAGAGATCTGGCAGCTCCCAAACACTGCTCATCACTCTGGGAATGAAAGCCTGACTTTGGCTTCAGAATAGACTTTCAAGAAATAGTGTCTAAGACGTCCTATCTGTCAGCTCTAATTTACCTCACTGCTGGAACAAAGGCATGTGAATTTAACAGGAAAAGTAGTGGGATACTTAATTGGTATTATTTTTTAATCAAAGTATCACATACATGTATGTTTAATCACACCAGCCTGGTACCTCTAAATCCAAAGCAAGTTTTCCTACTGTTCACATAACTGTAGTAATTGCTTTATATCTTCTTTGGTTTGACTATCATCTTTCAAGAGAAAAATTTGTCTTGCATAGCTGTGTATCCCTGTTGTGAAGCAGTAGATAATTTTATTGATTTATGTCACCTAGAAGTTACTAATGATTGTTTCCCCTTTTTCCAGAAATCACTGTGATTTTGGCTTGGTGGCCCTGTGGTATTCATTCCAGTCATTATTTGCTGAGTGACCAGTCAGATGGGCACAATATGTTATAGAAATTGGCAGCAAGTATCCAATGGGTGAAGAAGGTAAGGTGGACAGACATTTCTGAGTGATTCATGCATTACTACTTATGTAGAAATAACAATTATATCTACTGGTGTATTCCTCCAACCTGCTTGCTTTGAACCACCTACCAAATCCAAAGCAGCATCTGAGAAGAAAGAAAAAACCTACGTTCTTGGGCTTTGAGTAATGTGATTATTCAGTGTCATTGTTATTGAGGTCTCCTTTATGAACACCTATTTTGTATCAATACAGCTATAATCTTTTGGAATTTATAATCTATTGAGGAGAGAGTAAAAACTAAAGGTAATATAAATCCTTAGCAAGGCCTTGAGTGAATAAAAAGATTGAGATGTTTCAAGTGTTGTATTTTTCCCTTTTTTCTTTCCTTTAAGAAGAATTCTTAAAATAGGAGCAAGGTGGCTATATCCCATAAGCAAAGAGACTGCTAAGAGTTGAACTGTTTAGATGTTAAGAGGAAAGAGCTTTGGGCATACACTAGCAGCCCTGATTCTGACTTGCAGACTCCCCTCTGCTGTTTACTGTCAGTGACCCCTTAGGATAGTGAGCTTTTGGGGGAAGCCAAAGGGTGATTAGACCTCACATCGCTAATAGGTCTTCAGGTTTAGAATTCTGCAGATCCACTTAGCTTCATCCCATCTGACCAGTGGAAATCAGAGCTATTTTCATAGGACAGCCAAATAGCCAGCTAGAAATTTTCAAATAATTCTGCCAACCTGGTCTTCCCACATGTGGTATTCTAGACCTAACCATCTACGTGTCTGTGGCTTATGTCCACATTGTCCAGTAGGTGCCTCGAATGCCCAAGTCAAAGGCAAGTCACGATCTCCTCCTTTAATACATCACCTTGTCCCATTTTCCACATTTCATTGATAACACCACTGTTCTTCCAAACCAGAAAGGTGAAAAGGACTCCTGACGCCTCTTAGTTCTTTGCCTCCTATAACAATCTATTTCTATTGATTCCTGTTGACTTTACTCTTAATCATCTCTGAAATTCTTCTGTTTCTATTCTGACCCAAACGGCAGCTGAGCCCGCTTTCTTCAATTTTACTGAAATGACCACCTAATAGATCTTTTTGCCTCCTGGGTTATTTCTCCTTTGTCATCTTTAACATCGTCTATCTTCCACACACATTTTGGCAGCTAAGTGGATGTATGATGCTTCTCTTCCACTGAATTTCTTCCAGTGATAGAGCTCCTTAACAAGCTACTGAGACTCTCTTATAATGGTACCAGAAATGATGCTCTTCTCTCAGCTACTCTTTATTTGCAACCAGCCTTCTTTCTGTGCCTCCACAGCAGACCACAAGCACATTTCCCAAAACCCACCTACTCTCCTCTCTTCACAAGCACACTTAAGTTATTTTATATCTTAGCTCGAACTTAAGTACCTTTGTGACTCCCTAAAACTGTGACTAAAACAGCTATGGCTGTCTCCTACACATCACGTTAGCATCACGTTACCATGACTTCCATATTGGATCATAATCATCTATCTAGTTTTCTGTCTTCCTATCTAGCTCTTCAGGTTCTTGGAAGCAGACTTTATTTTGGGACCATTATCTTTCCAGATGCTGCTGCTGTATCCGGCCAAAAGTATAGATGCAATAATAATTCATTGAGCAAATAAATAGAGAGCTTTGCTATACTTTTAATAGCTGATTAAGAAGAAGGATCAAAGTAGTCACAGAGAAAAAATTTACAGTAGTGTCAGGTAGCAAATATTATATGATTAGCTAATGTTAGATTCAGACAATCTTTAAAGGTCTAGACTCCCTTAATCCTTGCAAAATAAGATGGGCACTAGCTGTAGCCAAGATTTTATAAATTAGAAATTTTGGTCTTAAAAGAAGATAAGTAAATTGTCTGTGGTGGTGTGATGTAATTTTTAACCTCGGAATTTCACTTTACCTGGACCCTGTGTCTTTTACCACTTTCCTCTTCTGCATGTGCCTGAATAAATCTGCTATATTACAGACAAAACCATTTCTTCCCAATTAATTCAGAGGCTTTCTATACAGCCTTCACAGCTATTGCTAAAAACATGGTCATCTCTTGTGATTGCTGTGCATAAATATTTCAAAATTTCCAGGTTTTTGATACCCTTATGTTGAAGAGTGTTTGTTTTGGGAGAAAATTTCAACTTGAGGAGTCTCCAGATTTCCCTCCTTACACCCTGGTCAATATTTGTTAGGGAAAAACCAGTGAATGACGGCACTCGAGTCAGAAGCAAAGCTGCACTTTTCCACAAATGCACCAGCATGATTTGGAAACTGTATGACTGACTCTTCGCGCATTCACAATTACTGCATTCACTTGCGGAGAAGCCTGGTTCAGCTGGCGAAATGTATCTCTCCTGTGGATATGCCTGTGCATGATGATCGTCTCATTTCTGCTGAGCCAAATGGGCCTCTTCATCTCATCAGCCCTTTGAATTCTTCAATAGGATATTTGAGTGACACTTCCTATTTTTCTAGATAATAAGGACAATTAGAAAGAGGTTTCAATGAAACAGAGTCAAAAGTTAAATAGAAAGTACTTGAATTTAATTTCACTTCTAGGAAATCTGTTAGACATTTTTTTTTTCACCAGAAATTAAGAATAGCCTATTTTAAAGAGCTTTGCATAGCTTTTATTCTCAGAGAGGTAAGATATTTCAGCCCTTTTAGAATAAGCATTGTGATCAGGAGATTCTGGTCAAAGATCCACTTTAAAAATAAAGAGAGATATGATACAGATGGAACACCCTTTTGATCATTCAGGATAGGCTTCTGGTTTTAAGGAGAGGAATTTTGTGCCCATGGAGAAAGAAATTTCTGTTGTAGGATCTGGGAAGAACAAAACAAATTATCAGCTTTAGCTGACATCTCAGAGTCTTGCTTCCCAGTCAGGATGCCAGTATTTCTTGACCTGGTGTCTCTGACTTGCCACACAGGCATAGATGAAAAGCACTTTCCCTTACTTTAAGGAGTTTTTAGTAGAGTAGCTTCTTAGAGAGAAGTCAAAATTGGAGTGTATAGGACACAGAGGGAAGAGAGACTTCAAACAGAACGTGGTGGAGCACCTTGGGCTCATAGATTAGATCAGCTTTTGGGCTAACTTCCAGGAAAATAGACTTAAGCTTCAGCTTTCATTCTTTGTACATCTGTACATCTGAGGTGCCTCCTCAGAACAGGGGAGGAATTACCTTGCAGCTACAGAAAAGACCTCTGATTGCCATTTTTTAAAATTAGAGTATTAGAGCCCAGAAATGAATATTCTAGAAAGTGAAAGTGATGTGCTCTTAGCAAAAGAAGACCATACACACATTGATACCCTACTGAGTAATAATCAGCAGGGGCCCCTGGTTGCTGGTCATTCAATTATCTTATTTGAATATAAACCAATCCCAGAGAGCTGCTTGTGAGGCAATTCACCTGTGCTGGTGAATCCACAGTGCTCTGTGTTGTCCCTGATGACTTGAGATGTCAATGTCAGCAGTCAGCTGCCTAACCCTCTGTGCCAGCTGGGGCTGTCTGTGAATACACATTTACTATTTCAGGATATAGGCCACTGATGAGAAGGAGGCCAAGTATCTGTCTATAGATGGTATTACTGGAATCATAAACAGACACTCAGTTCACTTTCTGACCATACTCTGCAGGTCTTCGGTATATAAAATGTGACTGTCACTACTACATTCAGTGAACAATTACAGGAAGTTCTAATATGCTAGGCAAAGCAGGCACTCTGCCATTGCCCAAATCAAAAGTATAAAGGAAAAACTCAACCAAATAGGTAGATCTTTGATCTGGTTTTATTTATTTAACTAGTGATAGACAGAGACCAGGGATCACTTCCAACAACACGAGTGGTGGATAAAGATTTATTACACATATCCATGTGACAGACACTGTGCTCCAGATTCTATAGCTATGATCTTGCTTCATGTCACCAGAGCTTTGATTGGTGAAGGACAAAACTTGCTGAGGGTCATGTGCTTAAAACGGGTAGAAAGAGCATCTCCATCCCTGAGCATAGCTCTGCAGTGCCTCATGTTTATCAACACATCTCTTTTACTTCTTTTCAGCTTAAGTTTCAGTCTTAATCAAGTTGGATGAGGAGTTTGAGTCAACTTTTATTGCATACAACATGACAAGATCGTCTTTAAAAAGGGGAACTTGGTAGCCCCTCCACAATTACTATTGTTGTTGTTGGTGGTGGTGGTATTATTTTGATGTGACCATCTCCCAAGTCTCCATTTGAGTTCTACAGAAAACTTAGCTGGCTTCAGCTAACGTAGCAATGTGCAGCTATATGTGTATGTTGAATTACAGGTACAATTAAAGAAAGGAATCTAGAGCTCTTTGATATGCTCCTTCCTCAACCATCTCTGGGGAACCAACCCTATTTTATTTCCTTGAGCTAAATAAACCAAATTCATGTGTATCAACATAACAATGAAACCAAAGTCCAAACCATTGAGGACTTTCCCTTCTGGTGACTGTGAGCTGGCAGACAAACAACCATGGAACAGAGTCACTTCCAGACAGTTCCATGAATCTGTAGGAAGATATAGGCTTATTCTGTTAGAAAAATGCAGGGAAGACTTTAGCAAGGTACTGATCTTTGGGATTAGACTTGGGTCTAGGTAGAAATTTACAAGCAGGAGATTAGGGAACATTTGCTACAAAAAGGGAATAGTATAGAGATTGTTAAGTAGGTGAAGATTGCTTAAAATTCAAAATGTGAAAAAGGTCTACAGTGAAGTTTCTTCTAATTTATTCTCTTCCAATTTTGCCCCCTGGATTTAACCAGTATTTTTGCTTTTGTGTATGACTTTCCAGAAAATTTCGAGGCAGTTACTAAAACATACTCCCGTATAGCTATCTTTTTTACATTTATATGTGTAGCTAAATAGTAATTAACTATAAATACTACTCTGTGCACCAACCCATACCTTGATTTAAAAAAAAAAAATGTTTTCCCCTTGGTTTTCTTGCACTTGTAGAATTTAAAG